GCTGCGCCTATTACGCGGATCCAATTTAAATCACTGATGGTAAATATCAAGGATCAGTATATGGGGTGTGCGTTATTTCGGGACGCACATGGGCGTTATTTTGAAACTAACTATGCTATTTTAAGGAAATACGATTTTCAAAATAACGCCCTGTGCGTTATTTCGCGTAAATACGGTATGCAGAAAATTTTAAATTATTGTCACGGCTGATGCTGACTTTTGGCTGATGTTGAATCTAAAAAACCCTATTGGCTAAATTTTGCAGATCACCCTAACCTTAACCAATCAGATTAATTAAATTCAGCATCAGCCAAAATTCAGCATCAGCCGTCACATTTAATATTCATAACGGTTTTATTGATTCTAATTCTTATTCTGCTAATTCTAGTTATTATTGCTCAATCAGATAACTTTATTAAGAGTCACAATTGAAAAACATATGGAAACCTGTTCACTATCATTACAGGCTTTATCCCATATGCATAATTATATTACTTTCTAAGACAATGCTACTGGGCCATATACCCACTTCTAATGTGCTCGAAAATGGAATAAACCCATTATACAACCCTAACTTTCCTATAATCTCTAAATATATAGAGAAAGTCGTCAAATAGCTACGAAGAAAATCAGTTCTCCATAAAATAACACGAATACTACTTATTTTAACAAAGAGACTTCTGCACGGTTATCAAACCGCTGAACCCGCAATTCAACTAACGAAGGTTCCTGCACTACTACAGTAGCCTATACATGGGTGCCTGAATTGCCTATTATAATAAAAAATTACTACGGCATTTAGTCAGCCGTAATTAGTCTTTCGTTTTTGCCGAAATTAATTTTCATATTGGTCGAAATTATTGCCGAAATTTTTTTAATTCTTTTCATCAATCAAAATACATCATATAGCATAGTTCCTTCGGAATTTTCCTATAATAAAATCTATCAATGCTGAAATGTTTGCGGAAAATACTTTTTTTCAAGCACATATCTATACTGTAGCCATGAAGCCTTAAATACTAAGGTTTTGCACTACTATTACAACCACGGAGCCTGGCATTATTTATCAATACAAACTCTTAAAAGGCAACAGCCAATTAACGAGTTAAATTTTGATCATCCAGACGTATAATGCGAAAGGAGCAAAAAAGTAAAGAAAGCGAAAATATTCGAAAACCAATGTTTAAACCGATCTTTAATGCACAAATTTAAAATGTCTGCAACAAAATTTTACATATATGAAGTGTTACTTTATTTCTACATCCTAAACTTCTGTTTTCACATACTTAATACCAAATTAATTTTAGTATTGTATTAAAATTTTGGCTGCAAAAAATAGAACAATTGACATTTAAGGAAAAAATAAATTGTAACATTGAAAAAATGGGTCGGTCGGATTATGCAAAACGAAAAAATCAAATTTGGGTAGCTTAATCTCACACCTCCTTCCGCCCTACTGATTTCATGCTTGAATCCATATGATAACTATTACAAATTAACTAGGATGAAGGGATGAAGGGTGGGAATCGAATATACGATAATTTTTTTAATTGTTAATCTAATTAGAATCAATTTTCATCTTGCCATAATAGTTTTATTGCAGATGGCAAAAAAAAGATGTGATCCAACGATTTTCGTGATAACGATAATGCGAATTTCGGAGATTCTGATTGTCTATCAATTGTATATTCGATCAGTAATATCTATATTTATTTGGGAATCTATATAATTGGGTAGTTATTTTTGAACCCGGACCAATTATATATATGACGTAATAACATTTTGTCTGGATTCAAAAATAATCATCCAATTCCTTTAGAATCGAAAAATCGCCTGATTTTACATGCATGTGATCTGCAAAGGCCACACCTTTTTGCAAACTGCAATAATCGTTTCTAGAAACGATTACATAATGAAGATTCTAAGAATCGATCCTAAAGCATATAATCGTTTTATATTAAGCATTTAAATAATTAAATATTTAATAAATGTCACAGCTGATGCTGATGCTGATGTTGACGCTCACGCGATGACCGACCAATAATGAATCGTGATTAGAAAATTCAAAACAAACGTTAATTTTGGAAACTATCAAAAATTGACATAGAAACCACTCTTTATGCAATAGTAAGAAAGTTTTCTTATACGATTTTATTAAGCAGAGGTCTTTCCGATTTTCAACAGCTGTCTTACCTTGTTTAGGCGAGATCAACTTGATTTGGTGGTCTACATTACACCCCTTTTTCAAAAGAATGGGGTGGAATGGAACGTATACATAATAAATGTTATTAAAATTTTTTTCAATCGGAAATTATAGGCCTGACCTTGCTCGTCTTTGGTGTTTGTTCATTTTCTTTTCGAAAATTTTCGGATCCTTAATATTTCTTTAATTTCCCCGATATTAGCTCTCCGTATATCTATATCCCCAAAACCTTTTTTACTAGGGGGGAGGGGGGGTAAAAAAGGGGGTAATGTAAATCACCAAATCAAATTGGTCTGGCCTTAGTGCGTCGAAAGTGCGTCGAGTGTAACCCAGGTTCGCATAAGGAAAACTTCTCCCTGCGTTACGAATACAAAGTAGAATTTCCAATTATATTATGTAATTGGAAATTCTACTTTGTATTCGTAACGCAAGGAGAAGCTCAACTTGTATTACACTCGACGCACTTTCGACGCACTAAACAAGGTAGGGCAGCTGTTAAAAATCGAAAAAGACCTCTGCTATTTTATTATATACCTCGCTAACCTCTAATCTTACTCTAACCTTTGAACCTAATTTAAACGCTAACCTCTAACCTTACTCTAATCTCTAACCCTAATTTAAACGCTAACCCTAATATGTATATTATAGTTGTGACCCGAAACCCGAAACTTTCCCGAAACCTTCAAATTAGAATGTTAAAAATTAATACTCATTTGTTATAAAGTAACCAAAAAACTCTTGGAATGCAATCTAATTATCATATACTTTAAGGTTTAAAGTTTAAATCTAAATTTCTAAGCTTTTCAGTATAGTGTTCGAGTTTCGGAAAAGATTTCGGGAATTTATATAGTTTCGGGTTTCGGGTCACAACTATAATGTATATGACAACAAAATTTTGTTATTATATGTCACGTCAACATCCACACCAGATACAAGAATAAATGTTCTCACTTTGCTATAAATATATATAAATGGGCCGTATTACTACAGTGCGTATTATGCTATTAAACTTTAGCTATTGTTTAGACTCAGTCATTAAATAGTGATTAGTTTTTGTTTAATATTTAAGGCAGTCAATTGAAATAAATAAACAAGCAATTCGATATGACATAAATTATTAATTCATATCTATACAGTATATGATTAAATCAGAATGATAAGTTAGTGAAAATCAATCTTTATATTTCTGTAAACTATAAAAACATTATAGTATATACAGTACTTTGCAAAAGAGTGATCCCGTTATAAAAATTTCAGTGATTCGAGATTGTACATCGACCATTGTTTTTCAATCGGTGGCGTCTATGTTATTTGAAATCTGTAAAATTCTCTTAGAATTAGAAAATTGCATGATTTTATGATCTGCAGAGATCACGCATTTCAATAAAATTCATCGGGAAAATCAATGTAAGGAGAATAATGGATTAAAAAATTTGGGATTCAATCATCGCGATTTTGAAGAATTCGATCATTAATTTCAATTTTTAGAACTGATTCACACCCTTATCTGCACTGATATTACAGCTATGGAGGACCAAAAACCCAATTAACATAACAAAGATCCTTGTATTGCCACTTCAGCCGTGAAGCTTAATTATTTAAAGTTTTTGTATTGTTATTGCAGCCGCTATGAGACAATATTTAAGCATAACCTTTGTTAATGAATTGCTGCAAGGTGGGGTAGGTAGGACAATAGAACCAGCCTCCCTACAGGGCGTTCGATAGCGGGAGGAGTTTCCCTCTCACACATCACTTATGGACCAAATTGTTGATGAATTTGTTTTTGAACTCAAGAAGCAGGCTGGCGAAGATGAGAAAAATAACTTCCCTCTATTAATAAACCACCCCTAAATACATTGCATTTGCAAAAACGTTCTTCCCCTTCTGCCCATACTGGTTTCATGGTTCAACCCATATGATAACGCCACCTTTATGATCAACCATATGCAAGAAAAAACCTGCATCAAACGAGACAATGCAAAATAGCCAGTAAAAAAACGGCCATAAAAACTGCCATAAAGGGCTAAAGCAATAAATTAAACATGTGGCTCACAAAGTAGTCTCGTAATAATCGCTTTGTCACTTTCTTTATTTTATAAACCAGTTTTGACGTAACTTTTAAATAGGATGTAACTATTTACAGAAGTGATGTATTAAGTCTGCATCAAAATGTCTCGAATTCATCGATATATTGTTAGTCGTATCTATCAACATCAGATATCAGTCGCAACAATATATTTCATATTAGTCACTCCAAATATATTCGGATACAGCTATTTTCATATGCTTTATTAAAAATAACAAAGTCGGTTAGGTAATTTAGACAAATTTTCCGAAAAAATTAGGGAAATATGGGAAAATTAAAAATTTTTAAATAAACTTTTCTAGGCAATAGAAATGGAACGATTGAAAATTTTGTTTACATAAAAATAAATATGTTACATATATATATGCAAGTTATTTTCGATTGGTCCTTCATTGTTTTGTTTATTTTGTTTATTTTTAAATAAAGAAATTTAGTATATACGTCGATCATTCCTCCAAAATGGATTTGATTTCTGATTTCCAATGTAATACATGAAAATTTGCTGATCACAGTAATTTGATAATAGAAAATTCAATATAAAAAGAACACGTTCCTTGGAGGTTTCGATAAATAACCAAACATAAAAACATATAACATCATTGGTCATATTTTTTGGATTCGAATTCGAATTTCATTTCATTGGTCGTTTCTTACAGAATTAGTATTTTACTCAAACAGAAGGGTCTCGCTACGCTTTAGATAATAATAATAATGAACAATAAAGAAAATTATATCTCTAAAACGGTGAGAGATAACAATAAACCAGATGAAATTCCTTATGATAAATTTCTAGTGGGTAGACATTTGAAAAGATGGGATTATGGGATTTTTAAAGATGCGAAATGGAAAGATACTAAAGAGAGAGTTGCATTATTATATCCGAAAGAAAATAACCAATTTTCAAAGGTAGGTAGTGCTTAAATATTGGTGTCTAAAATATACATTAAATAAAATTTATTATAATAAACCAATTTTCTTTAATTTTTAAAGGTTAGCGATGAAGTTTTAAAGGTAAACCATTAAAAATAAATTGCAATTGTTTTAAAATGTTACATATTATAATACGTTTTTTAAATTTGGTAGTTAAAAGATTTAAACCATAACAATATAATCAGATTCTATGGAGTAACTTATGGTATTTATCACCATTTTAAGCAGCAATTATTCTTTGTTTAACATAAATATGTGAAGACCGTTTTTTT